TTGAAAATCTTGAAAATTTAAAAAATACTGGTTTTTCTATATTTTCAAGATTTTCAAGATTTTCAAAAATTTTGAAAATCTTGAAAATCTTGAAAATTTTGAAAAATATAAATATTTGCGGAACCAGGATTTTTCAAAATTTTTGAAAATCTTGAAAATCTTGAAAATCTTGAAAAGTTTGAAAAATACTGGTTTTTCCACATTTTCAAGATTTTCAGGATTTTCAAGATTTTCAACATTTTTGAAAATCTTGAAAATCTTGAAAATCTTGAAACATATAAAAATACTGGTTTTTCTAGATATTCAAGATTTTCAAGATTTTCAAGATTTTCAAAATTCTTGAAAATCTTGAAAATCTAAAATACTGTTTTTTTTGTTTTTGATTTTCAAGATTTTCAATATTTTCAAGATTTTCAAATTTTTTGAAAATCTTGAAAATCTTGAAAATCTTGCAAATACTGGTTTTTTTTTTAGATTTTCAAGATTTTCAAGATTTTCAAAAATTTTGAAAATCTTGAAAATTTTGAAAAATATAAATATTTGCGGAACCAGGATTTTTCAAAATTTTTGAAAATCTTGAAAATCCTGAAAATCTTGAAAATTTAGAAAAACCAGTATTTTTCAAACTTTTCAAGATTTTCAAGATTTTCAAAAATGTTGAAAATCTTGAAAATCTTGAAAATCTTAAAAATCTTGAAAAATTAGAAAAACCAGTATTTTTCAAATTTTCAAGATTTTCAAAATTTTTGAAAATCTTGGAAATCGTGAAAATCTTGAATATGTATACTATATCCAGAGAAGCTTCGCCAAATAGAGCATAAACGTCCTACACACATAGTGTGATGGAAGCTCCCTGGGTGCTTAGTGACTACGATTGCCGCACCTCATCTCAGCAACAGCTCGATAGATGGCCATCACGCTGGTCCCAGAAATTCAGCTACCTATGAAGAGTAATAGAGCGAGCACGCACAACCCTAATTATACTGGGACCCCCCTATACGAGCCCTCAAATACTAAAATCCTTGTTCCTGGGACCCCCAGTGTATTTAGGAGTCTAAACTCCTTAAATGGGGTCATATAGGGTTTGGGGTTCAGGGGTCTGGATTCCTTAAAGAGGGTTATGCAGCGTTTAAGGTTTAGGGGTCTAGACTCCTTAAAGGGGGTTTTATAGGGGATAATACAGCGGGGGGTATTGTAGGGGATATTAATTGGGATACTGGGAGTTTAGACTACAGCTCATTTGAAAGAGCATCTTTGGAGTGAATCAGCTGGCGGAGCAGATCTACAGAATTTTGTTCTTGCATCAGGCGGTCGGTCAAGGCCTTGCATTTGGTCTGGAACGAATGGAGGCGCGTCACCAACCAGTTTGCACTTGCCAGTCTTGTGCAGATTGTCATTCCGATGGACAAATTTGTGCTAAAATGAAGCCATAAACTCCACCGCTTTTGCCGTGGCCCTAAACCCTAAACCGCAGTAGTGGTATTGCTCTCATATCATTTTGCGGCTTGCGCATGTCTGAATGAAGGTACAGCTACCAGGTGCCCCTCAGGAGAACTTGGGCAACCTCGTCCTGACAGCGCTGGGCCTGACAAGGCCCAGCGACTGCTGCAGAAGAAGGGAGCCCCAAGAAGTATACAGTATTCCTCCATGCTCCAGTATGAGAACACCAGAATACGTAACACCGGAGGCTGATTGCTTTGGCGCAGTTTGTTCAAAACCAATTCAAGATCAGAGACTCAGCGTGGGCGTGCAGGTCTGAAACGGCAGAGCCTGCAGCCAAAAAAGGCGCAAGACTCCGCCTTAGCTGCAAAGCATGACTCGCGCAATCTGCGCCCCTGAGGTCGTGTGAAGTTTTCCTCTCTCTTGGACAGTCTGCACAGTGATGGGCTCAGATGGCTTCTGAGCACTGCTCCTCTTCTCTGAGCCTGTTGAGAGGTGCCTGTATAGGGTTTTTTTGTTTTGTGCTGAAGAGCCCAAGGTAAAAGCCAGCCAGGCGCTCCGCAATCTGAGCTACTTCCCTGCAATTTTAGACTGGCCCTAAACTGGGTTGCTGTTAAGGAACTTAATTCAAGTTGCTATATTGGGGAAACCCTTTTATTTACTATATATACCCATTATGGTAATTTAATTTAAGTTCCGTAACAGCAACCCAGTAAACCCTTACACAAGTTCAACAGATTGATCCTGAGCATCTGAGGGATCTCAGAGCCCAAAGTGCTGCGGCCGCGGGCCTGCAGTTTGCGGAGCTTGTGGGCACTGAAGGGTCTTTGGGGCGGGGGGGGTGGGCCGGGGGGAACTTATTGGTTCTTAGTAGGAAATGAGGGAACACATTCTAGTGGTCTTGGTTTAGGGTTTAGGGTTAGTAGGGAATAAGGGAATATATTACATAGGTATTTTCCCTTAGTACCTACTAGGAACAAGTAACCAGCAGTGCAGCGCTGCAGACTGAGACTGGGCACATGGAGAGGGTGGAGATTCACATCGACGGCTGGCCACGCCCAGACTGGACTGTGTACCAGGAGGATGGGCTTCTCACGATGTTCTGATTGCAAAGCCACTTGAGCTATAGTCAAGGCGGTTATATAGGGATTATACTGGAATATTTCAGGGGTTATGAATGGGGATACTAGGAGTGTAGACTACAGCTCACTTGAGGTTGAAGCGCCCTCGAGCTTTGATCCTCAGGAGCTGGCAGGATCTTGGATCTCGGTTGCCTTTGGCCCGGTCGATGAAGCTGTGGATGCCGCCGCTTGACAACATCAGGGTCTCCCAAAACAAGGGGGAACTCAAGCTATCATCCTTATTCTTGGGATTCCCAAAATTGTACCCTAATTTTGGGAAACCCTAAATTTAAACCCTACACCCTTTAGAACCCCTATATAAACCCTGTATAGTGCACACTGAGAGGGTTCTTCCATGCCTGGCTGATCCTGACTTCCTCCCACGCACCCCTGTCGCAGAACGGGACATTCCGAGCCACGTTCAGACTTCCCGGGCTCGGAGGACCTTCTGACCTTGAGGTCTGACTCAAAGTTAGTAGTATTGCTACTTCTACTATTACTATTAGTATTTCTATGCTACCATTTTATTACTATGAGTGTTACCATGTACCGCATTCCGCCAGGCTCTGAAAAGCAGCAGAGCGGAGCATGCGGAGTTGACGGCTTCCTTAGCTTCACGGTGGACTCCACAAGCTGGAGGCATCCCGAGCATGGGTCCTGCCTGGTGCTACCCTGGGTTTAGGCTTAGGGTTGAGGTTCAGGGTTTAGGTTTTAGGGTTTCGGGTATACCCTAAACCCCTAACCCTCTATGTCCCCTACGTATCCCCTTTTACCCTTAAATTTCCTTTCTGTAGTCCCCCTTAAGTAGATAGGATTATGGCTTTGGGTATATTTTATAGGATCCCCATATACCCCATCTTCCATCTACTTAAGGGGGACTATATCCTCTATATATCCCCCTTTAAAGGTATCCCTAAACTTCCTATATATTCCCAGTTATATCCCACTTTAAAGGTATCCCGAAATTTCCTATATATTCCCAGTTATATCCCCCTTTAAAGGTATCCCAAAACTTTCAGCTACACTGCTGTAACCCAAGCTGCCTCACAGGATTCCAGACAATTTCGGTGGACGCCCTCCTTCCCCAGGAGGTTTGGTTGAGCTGTATTATTGTTGTTCTTATTATAAGAATTAGTATAGTAGTAACAATAGTATCACTATTATATCATTAGTATTTATTGTTATTACTAGTTTATTATTACTGCTTTTATAAGGTTATTGCTACTATAGTAGTATTTCTATCACCATCATTCTTGACATTATCATTGCTGCTAACTTCCAGGCCAAGGAGCAGCTGACGATCATCAGGGGTCGAAACATTGCAGCAGCAGCGGGGGTGTGAGGGGCAAAATCGGCAAAATACTGGGTTGCTGTTAAGGAATTTATATTAAGTTACTATATTGGGCATAGATAGTAAATACTGGGGTTTCCCCAATATCGTAGCTTAATTTAAGCTCCTTAACAGCAACCCAGAAAAAGGGACCTGCGCTCCTAAGCAAGCTTTCCGTTTTGCGGTCCTTCCATCGGAGGTCCGGACCATGCTCGCTTTGGAGTCTAATGTTTCGGCTCAAGCGAAGGCGGTTGAGGGAGAGGCAGCAAAGCCAACTGTGAGCTGCCAGGTGCTCGCCGGATGCTTGGCACTCCGCGGATCCAAAAATATCAAGTGTTTCGGGGTCTCTCGTTAGGCGTTTAGACCACTCAGCTTAACATTATCATTGTTGGTACCCTAAACCCTAAACCCCATTTTTAGTCTTACCTGTATAGTTTCCAGGGTGAGAAGTTTGAGCGCCTTAAAGTGGGTTGCTGTTAAGGAACTTAAATTAAGTCCCTGCAATAAGGAAACCCTATCACTCAGTAGGTAACCCAATAAGTTGCTACGTTGCGTGTTTAGGGTTTGGGGTTTAGTTGCTCTATTGGGGAAACCGTATTATTTGCTGTGTACCCACATAATTGTAAACTTTCTTTCCAGCAACCCAGCAAAACTTGAAAGCAACTGGAAGGGCGATGGGCTGCTGTGGCTCCAATGAAGCGGATCAGACAGGAGTCAAGAAGGTGCTCAGAATGCATGCCCACCTTTGTAATTCAGATATGCATATATATATATGAAATTAATACATGTATATAGAAAGAGATAATATGTGCATGCGCGTGCCTCATATGTATAAGGTGCACTTTTCGTATGCTTTGGATACCTTTACATCCATTAATCGCTTACCTTAGTGATAAACCCATTCCCCCTGCCCGACCCTAATGATACCCCCCCCTTACTGTAGGCTTTTGTTCTGAGGGTGATTTGTTTTGTAAAGACTGGCTGAGGGGTTTTAATTCGTAAGTGCCCTTTCTTGTTAGGGAGATGTGATTAAAACCGACATCCAAACCTACAGAAACATATGCCTATACATAAGGGTTTGGCCAAGACACAGCAAGAATTTAAATACACCACGTACATCTCGGCACACAAGAGCAGTACCGGGCTAGCATGTTGCATCTTTATGTACATGTGTAGACAGACTGTTGGAAGGGCTGCAGGAAGAAACTGTGAAAGTCTGCATCGTAGATAGATGCGATAGCTTCTTCAATGCAGGCCCACAGACAGGCATGTGTACACCAATATCTCCACACACATGTCCATATGCAAGCATTGCCAGTATGCGGTCAGTATGTACACGGCTCTGGCGCGTAGGTGGGGCGAGAGCGCAGACGGCTGAGCGTCGCGGAGGCATCCTGACTGGAACCCTCTCTCTGGGTTGCTGTTGGGGAACTTAGGCTAAGTTACCATATCATGGGTATAAAGTGAACAACGGAGCTGCGCTATTCTAGGAATTGTAAAGAAAATCCTTAACAACAATCCTTATCTCCATACAGCCTCCCACAAGTTCCTTGCAAGCGGCCGACCCCTCTGTTGGATTGGGATGCTGAAAAATCGGTATGTGGGATTAACTCAGCGACAGCTCAGGATTTTACATGCAATTTCTTGCATGACCGTATATGTATATGTATATGTATGACGATGTATTTCTGGGGGCTAGGGTCGAGGGTCTAGGGTTGAGGGGTGTAGGGCTATTGCTTGCATCCCAGGTAGCCGGTGAGACAGCCGGGGCAGCAGATTCCGGTTCGGGGGAAGGCTGGTCCGGCACAGTCATGTAATGTCTTCCCGGGTTGCGGTTGGACACTTTTTGGGGGGTTTTAGGGTGTTTCGGGTTTAGGCTTATAGAGGTATACAGGGGTATATAGGGGTATATACGGTTTAGGGTTCAGGGTTTAGGGGCAGATGGGGGCTACAGGGGGTTTCCCAAAGCTAGGGGTAGGGCTTTAGTATTGTGGGGTCCATGTTGGGGTCCCCGTGTTTTTGGGAAACTAACTTTTTACTACAGTGAAACCTGATAAAGCATCTAGATTTGCAGTGCTCGTGCTATGCTGTCAAGGAACCATGTTGTTGAAGGGTGCAAATTGCTCCCTAGCAAACAGACAGTCCCTCTAATACATGTTAATACATGATGGCAGTACACTGGGGCGAATTTGTTTGTCATCTTCCCTAAGCCCTAGACCGTGCATGCGGACTTCTTGTGATGATACTGCTGACATATGGTTCTTAGCGCTGTAGTTTGGGAACCAGCAACGACACTTTTGGGGTGTAGGGTCTAGGGTTTACGGTTTTAGGGTTCAGGTTTTAGGGTGCCCATTGTTGGGTGACTTGACTGGTGCCCGTACCACTGCACGACCCTAAGTACGTACTTGTAGCTTATACCTTGGGAATAATGGTACTATAGTATACTAAGGCGATGCATGATTCTTAATATCAAAAGTAGTGCCAGGAGGCATGATTGCGCAGCTTGAAAGCAGATCGGTGGTGTGAGCCTCAGCCTGTGCTTGCCTGCCTCTGGGTTTTAGGGTTCAGGGCTTGGAGCTGAGATGGAAGCAAGGGTTTAGGGCTTGGGATTTATGGGCTGTTTGTGACAGCCAGCCTGCAAGCCCGGACCTGGGAGTTTAGGCTTTAGGGTTTGCACCAAAGTGGCGCCAGCACACCGAATCTCTTACCTCAATGGTAGAGTCACTTAGAAGGGCAACCTCTGCGGCCTTCGCTGCGTACTGTTTCTTGATGTGGGTAGCTGGAAATTACTTTCCACCTCCCATGCTGTCTTGGGCCCCAGCGGCAGCAAAAGGAATTGCACAGATACCCAGAACCCTAAACCCTAAACCCAGATCGACATCATCGAGAATATGGAGCTTGCTGGGGGTGGCCCCAAGGCGTTCATGGGCTCCTGTACCGTGGGGCGCCCCAGATGTGTCTAGGAGGCTGTGTGTAAACCTTTCAACTAGTTCAGCTCTGCGGAGGACACAGGGATGTCAGGAATGACCTCCTTCTCCAATAAGCTCTTTGGCTGCAACAACCTGGGGCCTAGGACCCGGCTTGTGGCTGAATCTGCTGACCCTGAGGTCTGTCCAAGTGCTTGGAGATGACATTGACCTATGCCCAAAGGGCATAGCCTTCACATGTCGGAAAGGCTTCTGGGCTGCTCTGGCAGACATGTGCTTACTGACCCGGCGGAGTTGCAAAGGTCTGAAGCCAGAGAGTCCAAACCAAGACTCCTGGTGCTTACTGAAAATGGACAGCTTCATTGGCTTCACTGACATGGGTGGTTGTCAAAATTATGGTCTCTTCTTGGGTACCCTAAATATTAGGTGCCATATTATAATAGGCACCCCAAAAGGGACCGTAATTTTGACAACCACCCATTGGCTTCACTGACATGCCCCGGCTTTTCACAGAAGTGCTAAAGCTGGAGAGCTGTTTGAGAGCAGGATACCTTCTCCATCTACGCGGTCTTTGATGGTCATGGCCACAAGGGCCATGACGTCTCGCAGTTCGTAAAGGAGCCTTTTTTGGGGTGAAGCGAGCTTAGTTTTTTAGTTGTCTGATGGGCCAGTCTCAAAATCATGGGCCCCTTTGGGTTGTAGATGATACTGCGGCATCTCGTACCTGGGCGTACCAACCCTAAACCCAAAAGCCTTCCCGTCCTGCAGCTGGCTAGCTTTGTTGGGAGCCTGGAACGAACCGCGCCTGCTGAGTGCAATGCGCTTGCCTAACACCCTAAACCGTAAAACCCTAAAAACCCTAAACCCTAAAACCCTGAAACCCTAAAACCCTAGAAACCCTAAAACCCCTTAACACCCTAAAACCCTAAAAACCCTAAACCCCTTAAACCCTAAGCTAAACCCTGAGGACATGCTACCGAAGCTCATCCTCCAGGACCCCCGGTTCCTGACTCAGACACTGCCGGGTTGCTGTGAGGGGAGGTTAATTTGAGGGCTTCCCAAAATTAGGGGTACCTTCTTGGGGGTCCCAATACAAGGGACTATAATATTTTTGGGTCTATATTGGGGTTCCCCTATTTTGGGAAACTACCAATTTGACTTACCATAACATGAGTTTAGGGTTTGGGGGTATACGAGTCTGGGTTCAAATAAAGGGGTATACGGTAAATAGTAGGGTTTCCTTATAACCCTCAACCCTAAACCCAGAACTGGTCCGATAAAAAACCCAATAAGTTCAAGTACTTGAACAGCAACCCAGAGTGCTCTCAGCATGTTGATAAGCGCTTTCCGTCGATCAGACTAGCTCGTCACTCGACGTGAAAGTCTCATGCTTTGTCTTATCATTCATGGCTTCCTTGTCCAAGACAACCATTTCGGTCACAAACCTCTTGTCATACTTAGCCTGGCACTTTGGGCCTGTCTCTTGTATCAGCGATGCTGTAATGATAATAATTAGCACTAGCAGTAATAACAATAATAACAGTATTTAGGAACAAGAGCAATACTAATAACAATAGCTAATATAAATCATGCTACTAATAGTCATAGTGATCGGAATACACCCTAAACCCAAAAAATACTTGTAGTAATGTCTTGCCTTGTGGTCGGAGATTCCTTCGGACAGCTTCGAACTGGGCATCTCTTTAGATTTGCTTTGAGCGTGGCTTTGGCACAAAATGCTGCCCCCATAGGGATACATGTTCTGGGAGTCCTTATAATGAGGATTAGAGTGCATTTTCTGGGGGTCCTTTAATGAGGATTAGAGTATTTTGGGATCTATATTGGGGTCCCGCTATTTAGTTAGGGAAACTATCATATAGCTGCCAGCGTTCCCGTCCGATCGCCGTATTTACTGGGCCGTCAGAGGGAAAGCAGTCTGAATCAAAGCAAGATGGGCGGGAATCAGGAAGGGAAGTGCCCTAAAACCCTAAACCCTAAACCGCAAGTGGTCTGCGTTTTCGATCAGGTCGAAGTCACCGGAGGTCGGTTCATGCCTCATAGACGCCTTCAAGAAGGTTCAGAAAATGGCACCTTTGCTGCAGAGCACACCCCCAAAACTCTAAACCTAAAGCCTCAACCATGCTATTTTGATAATCTCCCCTGTATTCCTCATCTAGAACCCCTGTATCCATACAACTCCTAAGGCCCCCTTGTTCTGCATACTGCATACTTGAGACATGGCTGAGGTCATGGCTGCAGACAAGATGAAGATGCTGAGTGCACAGATGTCTGGCACGACGGCAACTGTGTGCTTTCATGCAGCTTGCTTCGGCTTTAAGGCTTAGGGTTTAGTATTTAGGGCTTGGAGTTTCGGGTTTTACGACAGCCATGCGCTTCCAATGCTTGTCGAAAAGATGGAAACTTAAAAGGGTGGCGCGTTGGCGCTGCCAGAGTTTTGGGTTTAGGGTGCGGGGTTTTTAGGCAAGTCCTGCGGCACCATTGCGCTAGCTTCTGCAGTTTCATGAGGGATTGCAGATACACAGGAACCGCCACGGTGTGTTGTCATGTACCTTCATGTTATGGTGTTGGGTGCGTGTCTTTCTGTTTGTGCCCATGTCTACAGATGGATTGGGAACTCTGAACCCTAAACCCTCAACCCGCTGTGCTAGATGCATTTCAGACTCAGCGCGTTGCTGCTGAGCAACTTTGATACCTTGCTTTGAAGTGCTTTGAAGGGTCGGGATGGCGATATCGCCTGGTTGCTGGCCAGTTTGGCAAATTGCCGCCTGCTCTGCTTGAGCTTTACCTAACTGTGGGAGGGTAAAAGAGGCGCCTAAAAAACACAACCCTAAGCTACTTTAACGACCTCAGATCTGAGCAATCAGGATCATTTGCGCGAGAAGCTGACCATCGCCCACGTGGCTACCTGGCTGTTTACTTTGCTCGCATGCTCTATAATCTAAACTCCTTAACGGGGGTTATATAGGGGATTATGTGGGGTTTAGGTTTTAGGGCCTAAACTCCCAAAACAGGATTATATAGGGCAATATTATAGGGGTTCTTAAGGGGGATACTTGGAGCTTAGACTATTCACATGGATGGCTGATGTTTCTAGTGTTCTCGTGGTAGTCTTCATCCTGGCCTCGGCCACGCAGCAATGAGGCTGACAGCACCGCCGCCTTTGGGATCAAGAAAGGCACGCTGAAGATCAGCTGGGTTGGTGTTGAGGAACTTGAATTCAGTTACTATAATAAAGAAACACTATTGTGTACTAGCTATGTGCCCTTAAGTTCCTTAACAGCAATCCAGCTCAGAGCCCTAAAGCCTAGACCCCTAACCCCCACTTCCCCCTCAGCACCATAACAAGGAACAGGGCAGCTTCACAGAGTCTATCAAGTTGCTTCTGCTGCGCTACCTTTGAGTTTGGGCAGGCGAGAAGTGGATTGGGACATCTAAGACAAGAGACCACAAGCCCAACTTGAAGGTGGGAGCCTATGCAGGACAAAGGGGGTTAAGGGTTTAGGGTTGATAATTCAGGGTTTAGGATTTAGGGTGTAGGGTTTAGGATTGATAATTCAGGGTTTAGGGTTGATAATTCAGGGTTTAGGGTTGATAATTCAGGGTTTAGGGTTGATAATTCAGGGTTTAGGATTGATAATTCAGGGTTTAGGGTTGATAATTCAGGGTTTAGGGTTTACCCTAAACCCTAAACCCTAAACCCTTTTCTTCTACAGTCTTTGCATTCTGCGGCCAGGGCGAGCGAGAGCGGATTGAAAAGAATGGCGGCAGGGTGGTGACTGGACAGATTCTAGGATAAGCCTGACATTTGAGCTATAGTCTAAAATGCTTAAAGGGGGGTTATATGGGGGATTATATATGGGACTACTATAGGGGATATTAAGGGGGATACTAGGAGTTTAGACTATAGCTCATATATATATAACCCCAATATATACCCTACATTACCCTTATAGAACCCTATATTATCCCTGTGGTAGGAGTTTATTACTCTGTTTGTCCTTGTGTGTGACTGCGCTTGGCATGCTGAGGTCTTCGATGGCTATGCCAACCATCGGATCTACGCCGCTCACGCATGTAATGTAGATCTAGGGTGCGCAGCACCTTCACGTGATGCTTGCTTGGGATTGAGGCCAAAAACGCTCGGTATCCTGGCCTGAACATGTCGCGCTGCCTTGGAGACATTCTGGGCGACTGAGCGGCATTGGATCTCCATTCCTGGCGTGATGCGAGCTTCCTGATGGCAATTGCTGACATTCAGCACTGAAGACAAGGTCATCTGGAATGCGGAATCACATGTGAGCCGGAGATCACTCCGCTCCATGCTGAGTGCTTTGTGTCAGTACCACGGTCTGTGCAGGGGTATGAACATGACCTTCCATTTCCTAAACCCTGTATTACCTATCCCAGTTTCCATCTCATGTTCTCCGTTTGCTTCTCCCAAAATATCGGCGTCACAAGTGTGACCTTCCATTTTTTGATTTTCAACCCTAGACACTAAACCCCCCAAGGGTAGACCTGGAGAGCGGGGCGGCGCAGATTCTTCTCGTTTGCAGCGATGGGGTTTGGGAGTTCGTCACTGCACAGGAGGCTCCCGGAATGACGCATGCAAGGTTCATAGGTTCAGGGTTTAATGGGGTTTAGGGTTTGGTGTTTAGGGCTGAGGGTTTAGGGCTTAGGGTTCAAGGTTTAGGGGTCAGGAGACTCCCCACCCAAGTTTTGAAAATCCCTCATATAGGTTGTTGTGGAGGGTGAAGGTTTCATCTAGACAAGCCTTGCTTGGCAAAGCCATCCGCGCCGGCCACCAAAATGTACAACTACCAATAATCAACAGATTAGTAGTGCTCATGATGGTATTGCGAGTATTGCTAATAATACTACTACAAATCATAATACGAATACGAATACCAATCATCATGCTAATACTACACATAATACCAATACCAATACTAATACGAATATTAAACATAATTCTAATACTGCCATTAGAATATTGCCAGCCAAGCAGCAACAGGACTCTCACGAGCTTCTCAACTCGTAGTTTGAGTCACACCATCGGGGTTTGGTGCATGCCAGTAGTCATCATGCCTGTGGGATTGGTTTAGGGTTGAGGGTTGGGTTTAGGGTTTAGGGTTAGGGCCCTAGACCCTCAATCCTAAACCCTCAACCCTAAACCCTCAATCCTAAACCCTCAACCCTAAACCCATAACCCCAAACCCTAAACCCTAAACCCATAACCCCAAACCCTGAACCCTTAACCCTAAACCTTAAACCCAAAACCCTCACCCCTACCAGGCCGTCGATCTCGTCAGCACGCGGCCTGCAGAGCTTTGCGAACAAGCGGCTGGGCTAGTTTTTGTGAAGAAATGGTAAGTTCCAGTAATTACAGGCTCTAAAGTATTATAGTCGATATGATTGGGATTCTCAAGAGGGTATTTCTAATTTTGGGAAACCCCAATTTTTTGTGCTTGATTCGTGGAGAAGAACGTTAAAATTTCACATGTTTCCAATTTTTATGTACCATTATCCTGTAGTTTTAAAGAGAATGGGCTTACTGCTGTACATTCGGCTCTAGGTGGATGTTTCCAGCACTTATGGGCCCCCACCCAGATAGCCGCAAACGAACATGGTAGACTCCCTATTGCAAGGACCTTTCAAAGAGGTGACCCTCAATTCTTGGAAACCCCAAATCGTGGAAATATCCTCCTACATCCCTGTATACACTTACATGACCCACATATCCTGGTTGAAAGGGACACTGGAGCCATAGTCTAAGCTCCCAGCATCCCTTCAAAAAGAAGCCCAAGAGTATTCCCTATACAACTCCCAAGAAAGGAGAGTAGATTATGGTTCATTTCATGTTCCACATCCCCCCGGAGTTTGCTGGTCTCCAGGCAGCGGGACTGCTGGCCAAAGAAGCTTGGGATCGCCACATGGCCAAACTCTGCTTCTCCTCAGGGCTATGAGTAAGGGTTTGGGATTTAGGGCTTAGGTCCAGAGTCTGGGTAAAAAACGGAGTTTAGGACTTGCGAGAAGCTCAACATGACCTGAGGGTTTTGCATTAGATCACGCACAACCCGTATCGTACGCAACCCTAAACCACACAAAGAGACGGGGCAAAAATGACCCTAAACTGTGTTTGTTAATCTTAGCTTCGAAGGTACCCTGCAGAATCAGGAATCATGGGTTCCCCTACTGCCCCCCTCTATACTACCCCCCTTAGGTTCCCCCCTTAATTAAGGTTATTTAGGAATAGTTAGGCATAATTAAGGTAAATTAAGGGGGAACCTTTGGGGGGAGGGGGTGTAGTATAGAGGAAATATTCAGAGACTTCGCCCCTATATAATCACAGTTTCCAAGTTCCATCTCATTTTCCATTCGATTCTCCATTATTAGGGTGTAATATCCCTAACCCTAGAATCCATCCGTAAGGCTGGATACGTGAAGAAGGCGGCGCAGTTGTCGACGACATAACAGTGGGCCTTGTCCACATTGGCAAGGACATCTGCTTGTGGGTTCAAGATGCCAAATGCACGCTAGCCTGTTTCGAAGGGTTTTGCCTGCAAAATCTTGCTCTTGGATACCTCACTGCTTGAAATGCAGATTCAGCATGTTAGCCAGAAAGTATGGCCAGCTGTAGCTTCACTGGACAGAGGACAAAGTGCCGAGCAAGTGAGGAACTGCATCGAAATTTTCGCTTAATTATGATTTTCTCAGCGCTTGAGCTGCGTGCTTCCGGGCAGTTGGTCTTGCCACACGTTCCTGGCTCTGCTAGACCTGGTTGGAGATCTCCAACTTGTGCAGGGCCTGTTTCACCGCGTAGAGCCCCTAGGCCAAACACATGATATGTATGCTCCTGACCTGTTGAACCAGACTACAAAAGGAGGCCTCGGGCAACAACTTTACTTACCGATGCTTTTTGCTACTGGCCTGCCCTAAGTATGTCAGTCGTTCGGTGAATTTCGGAAGGGCCAGCGGCCGATTGTAAGCTCCAACGGTCTTTGACAGCTGCAAGCTGGCTGCCTGGTGCTTCGTGCGAATCCCAAAGTCGATCTATACTTCAGGGGTAGGTTTCAACATAATCTTCGGTTTTTATTTCTCTTAATCCCTAAAAGCATAATTTCTATAGGGCCCCGCCCTAAATTTCCGGGGGTCACCTCCAGGATCACCTAATATTGCGTTCCCTCCTTTCCTCGGGAAGTAGAAGGTAATTCCCCTCCCTCTACATCTTAAAAACTACCCACCCGCAGAACATTGAATTTTCCCAAGGTAATATGATTTATAATATATCAAACTAGTTTTTCTACATTACTGAACGGGGGGGGGTTACATATCAGTGAGAGGCATTAGTTGCATGCCCCCTAAACCCCCAAGGTCCTCAGCCCCTAAACCCTAAACCCCTACCCTAAGCCCCTAGGTTTGGGGTGTGGGGTAATCCTTACCCTAAACCCTAAATCACTTAACCCTCACCCTCAGCTTGTGGCGCAACGTCGGCTTGCAGAAGCAAAGCCTGCAAGCCAAACTTTCCCCAGCAGTCGACCTGGCCTCGGGGAATCTCGAGACCTAGGGCTTACTGGTGGTCAGTAGGATTTAGGGTTTAGGGTGTCAGAGGTCACGGTTTAGGGGTCAGGATTTAGGGTTTAGGGTCTAGGGGAATTAGGGAACTTATGAGCGATAGTCTCAATTCCTTAAAGGGCTTTATACAGGGAATTATATGAGGAACCACTATCGGAGGTTTTAAGGGGGATGCTCGGAGTTTAGACTACATATTGTAATGTGGTATATTCCCTTCTCCTATATCAAGAGAAAAAAGGTACGGGGCATATTCCCTTATTCCCTACTAGCCACCAGTAACCGTGAACGTCGGCTCCTCACGTTTCTATCCGCCGGCAGCAAAACAATGAGCCTGCGACAGAGATGCGATTTTTTGTCCTAGCTGATTCATGATCGTAGTAATTTCCAGTTTATTTTCCATCATCCAATATAGCCCCTTAATAAAGCCCCATTGGAACTTGGGATACAGGGGATACAGGTACCCATTGGGGTAATATTAGGGCTATATTGGGATAATGGAAAATAAAATGGGAACTACTATGCTGCTGTGCAACTGAATAGTGCTTGCGCCTAATGGACAAGTCACTTCCACTGCTTACGTGGACATCAGCCTGACATGGGGAAACGTCCAAACGTTGCCCAGTCACTCTTAGATAGCGCAGGAGTTGCTGACAGTCTTTCTTGCCAGAATGTTCGTGTTTCTGGAGGTTGGTGTACAAGATAGATTAATTGATGATAGTCTTGGACGCCTTAGGAATTATTGTTCATTTTTATTGTAGTGTAACCCTATAAGGAAATGTTAAATATTAGTTTCAGTATAGCTCTAAGGAGACTACAGTTACCGGGTGGGGGGAGGTACCCAAGTGCAAGCCATGATTCGGTCACCCAAGCTCTGCTGCCATGGGCCATGAGCGAAGCCCTCCTTCTTGTGCAGGACTTGCCCGTCAGAAGACAAGCTAAACCCTAAGAATCCTAAGCCCTAAACCCTTAACCCTATAAGCCCTAAGCCCTAAGTCCTAAACTTTAAGCCAGAAACCTTAAGCCCTAGACGTTGCAAGATGTTCAGCTCGGAGGGCCTGCTGAATCCCTTTGGCAGGGGATCCCTGAGCAGCTGCACGTGCCTGACTTGCGGGCGTTCTTCAAGCCGGCCATTGAGCTGGCTCCTCAAAAGCTGCTTCTTATTCTTATTGTTTTTATCATTAGTATTATTGTTAGTAGTGTTATTAGTAGGAGTATTAATTAGTAGTATTATTAGTAGGATTATTAGTAGTATTACTATCTGTTACTACCGTTGGTGGCATTGTTTTCATTGCTATTATTACTATCATTATTACCTTGTTTTTTGCAATTAATATTCCTACCTTTCTGAAATTAGATATTCCTTTTGAGCATTTAGAAGTGAGAAGCACAATCTACACAAAGCCGCAGCCATGCCTTGAAGGGGTGGCCTGTTCGCATGCTTCCACTTCCGGCGGAAGCAGGCCCCATGACGAGGATATAATCTCCCCTCCAGCCCCCCCCCTCCCACATTACATATTTCCAATATACTATAATATACCACAATTGGGAGTATTTAATATCAGGGGGGGGTTGGGGGGTTTAATATCACGGGGAGGAGGTAACAAGGATGCTTGTTATGAGAGTGTCGGTCTAGCTCTCTTGACCAGGATGGTGTCCGCTCGACGGTTTCCTAAGTTCTCCAACTACTTCTGCTTGTGATTAGAGGAAAGATTCTTCTTAGAGCAATAAAGAAATCAAGCCATGGCGTTTTGCAGGCTCTTAGCTGGCTTGGTGTAGTTTGGCCACAACTTACAGATTCCACCTGCGCATCAATGATGCAGGCACAGGGTACCGCCCGCACTGCTGCGCCTGGCGACCTAAGCTGCCTGGTGCGTGCTGCCAGCGAGGCAATGAAGCGTATTGTCTTCGATGCTGATGTGAAGTCAGAATCCCCAGCACCAGGATGCTGCAGCGAAGATTGTGTCTGGTTACCATGGAACGCCATGGAAAGAGGCCACAGCACATGACGTGGCGCAAGCACATGCCCCTGTCTTTGCACAGGTGCTTGTGGATGCAGCTGCAGGGAACTCAGACAGCTGTGCCACAAGCTTGCCACGGGCTATGGGGGTCAGGTCCCTCGTGCTGCTCAATGTCTCGTATGCCGTGCCCCAGCCAACACCAAGCACAACGACTCTCATCCTGCACCAGGGCAGATGGTAGCTTCCCAAAAATTAGGGGGGATATTGATATAGACCCAGATATACTATAGTCCTTATTAATATGCGGACCCCCAATGAGGTACCCCTAACTTTGGGAAACCCCCAGATCTGGCAGATCCAGCTTGCTGATGTTGGTGGAAACTGCAAGCAAAGGATGTTTGGGAGCTGCATCCGCCCCCGGCCTTGCCTCAGGCCTCCGGTGTTTGGCAGTTCATGGGTTTTAGGGTTTCAGGTTTAGGGTTTGGGATTCAGGGTTCAGGGTTTAATGTTTCGGGCTTAGGGTTTAGCGCTTCGGGCTTAGGGTTTAGACATGTGGCCAGGGCAACGTGGGCACAAAGCGGTCGACCATCCTTTCTGCCATACGCCGCTGCAGGCTGCCAAGGCCTCAGAACATTAGATTTAGGGTTTAGGGTTTTGCGAAGGTGACAGACCATTTCTCAGCAGCTTAGGCTAGGAAAGTTTCAGTGTTACTAATGTTATTACTACTACTAGCATTCTTCGTACTGCTATTTTGAGCTAGTTGTTTCGATGAACTACCGCTTTGAGGCCAGCCTCCGTTGTGAAGAGGCAGGGCCTGCAGATTGGCCTTTCCTGGCCCTCATTGGCTTTCGGGGGTTCCCGAAAATTGAGAATCCTTTTTTGGGGGATCCCAATAACGTAATAAGGATTACAGCAGCTTATGGTCAATTTTGGGGACCCCCTGGAAACCCGAAACCCTAAACCTTAAATGATAGTTTCCATTTTCCTTTCCATGATCCTAATATAACCCCAATATATACCTTATTATAACCTACCATCCATTTGGCTTGCTTCAGGCTTGGGATTGTGCCAACCTGTCGTTCCCGAAGTGCTCGCGACTTTGCAGCCATTCCTCCCCCTTTGGCTTGGAGAGCTCAGGCACGCTGCTGCATCATGGCCATAAGGATCGTGTGAGCTGTAGTCTAAACTCCTTAAGGGGTTATATAGTAAATTCTATATGAGACTATCATAGAGGTTATTAAGGGGGATACTAGGAGTTTAGATTACGGCTAATTTGAAATTCCTCTCAAAGCATCTGCTCTTGGAAGGAAGCGCGTGTAAGAAAAGCTCTGCCAACTCTCCCAGAGGCCGTCAGATGCCTTTGCGCGGCACTTCGCGTGGAATTCATTACTCCTGAGGAGTCTGACGAGCCATCTGCTGAAAAGCCGACCTTCGTGTCTGCCATGTTTGCATCACTGAAGCGACGTCGCTGGCCCAGTTGGTTTAAGAGGCTTCGCAGCTTGCTCCAGGCTTCCTTCTGGCTGAGGCAAGAGGCCGAGGACCGCAAAAGCTGAGGAAAAGGAGAAACAACTATTGGGGTCATATTGGGGTTACGTTGAGGGTTAGGGTTATATTGGGGTCATTTTGGGCTTATATTGGGGTTATGCGCTGACTTAATTGCTCTGGAGTTTCGGCCCACTGTTGCCCACACACCAGGACCAGCAGCACACATCATGCAAAAAGCCAAAGTGCGCACCCGAGAGCTCCGGCAGCTTCACATCATTTGGCTGATCTACCTCCAGTTGGAGATTACAGTCCCCCTTAAGTAGATAGAGTATGCGTTATCATCCCCTATTATCCCCCTATAATGGAGAATCAAATGGAAAAGAACATGGAAAATGAAATGGAAACCAGAGGAAGATAGTCCCCCTTGAGTAGATGGGCTTCAATGGCACATGGAGACCCAGGTTCAATCCGCGAGCTGTAAAGCATCGTCCACGCATGATGCCACCAGCTTAGGCTTTGGAGCGTCAGCATACCAGACTGCCACATCAACTTCCATGTCGCTGCTTATCCCGGACTGAGGTGTGCGATGCAAGAGGATGACAACGGCATCCTGCTTCAGTTTACGATCTCCTTGGCAAAGCGCCTCTCAAAGGGTTCCACGGAAAAGAGGGGCTCCAAGATGGATCCCAACATTTTCTAGTCCGTCTTGTAGGGGGTTTAGGGTTTAGGGTTTAGGGACTCCGAAAAAGGATGCGGAATTTTCGGTGGTGTGTTTCATGCGGATTGAGGTAGCAGCGATGATGGTCAAGACCTTGAAGGACCTGCGCTGTGACGCACCTGCTTAAGAGCAGCTCAGACACACAACATACGAGAACAAGATAGATATAGCTTGATATAACCCCAATATATACCCCATTATACTATAGAAGTTTCCACTTTCTTTTTCATTATCCCTATATAACCCCAATGTACTATGTAGGTGTTTCTGTCCGTAGCATGGCCCAGGTGAATGAAAAAAATGGTTCTAGGGCTCAAGCTGTGCAGCAGGACGCCATCTCCCGCGACCCTTAGATGACGAGGACCACTTTGATGATCCCATTGAGAAGGCCAAGCCCCCTGCAAGGATCATGAACAAGAATCAAGCATGACACAAGGGTTTCAGGCAAGGGCATACGCATATAGTCCCCCCTAGAGTAGATAGAATATGGCTTTTGGGTATATTATAATAAGATCCCCATATACCCCATATTCTATCTACTTAAGGGGGACTACAGGCATAGTGGTAGCAGGGAATTGTTTGTGAGCATGGCATGGATCATAAACTTCTACTGCTACCCAAATCGGCTGGTGCCAAACTCCAAGCTACTTATCAGTACTCTGCAAAGCCCTTGTGAGAAATCCCGCACGTATGCTGGACAAGCTAGACTGGAGCGGGAAAATGCGGGAGAGGTGACGATTCAGTCGACAAACTCTAGAATCACATCGCCCCAACACCGGCTCAGTGCTCGCGCCAGTAGATGCCACACGCATGGACTAGGGGCAAGACGTACCCTACTCCTCGACAGCATGGCATCTAGTGGCACCAGCACCGAGACAATGCTGGTGTGCTGAGTGTTTTATGTGTCAACTAGACGGGTAGTTCGCTTGCAAGGCCGGGACGGCCTTCCATGACACAGAATGGTGCTTGGGCTTCCCGAAGTGTTTGGTTTGGAGTCTTCGTCTTATCGCTCCTTCCATGACTGGTTGTTGGACGGCATGTCTCGGTATTCAGACATGTGAAATTTGACACCTGTTCTTCCAGTATGCAATCGCAAGCTAGGCGGGAGCACGAACCCTGAATCCCGAAACTGCGATGGGACCGGCTACTGCAGAGTGTAACCCTGCGCTGCTGTCCACACGTGCAAGTGGCACTAGACTCCAGTAATAGGGGAACCTGAACATATAGACCCCAACATACCATGATCCGTGTTATAATTTTAGGAAACCCCCATGTAGCACCCAGACCAACAGCCTTCAGCCCGTACACTCACAAGAACCGTAGGCGCCTCATTACGAGCGGAGCGACCGACTGGACTCTGCGGCAGGTTACCTCTACGAGGATGCGTCCACACCAAAATTGAGGGATTGGGGTTTAGGGCTAAACCCTAAATCCCTTGTCTTGGGAGCTTGCGGAGACATGGGTGTGCAAGGAAGATGGCAGCTTCCCGAAAGGCAGAGAAAACGGTGGGTTTCGAAGATGGAGGTTTCTAAGACAAAGGTACCCTAAAATGGCGCTGGGGACTATGTCGGTATGATTTGGGGAGATTCCAAAGTTACCACATAGCGAAAGAGCCGTTTGGGTCGAAAGGCGGAGTGTTGCATGGGTCCTGGGATTGGTTTATCTTGTAGGTTGCATGGAGGTCAGTCATGAGATGCGCGGGGAGGGACAGGGAGAATATCCAACATGGATTTGTTGAAATGACTGACTACGGGACGCAGACTCTAAACCCTAATTCCTAACCCCTAAACCCTTAACCCCAAACCGACTTTTGGCAGATGCCCATTCTGGCAAGGACACTGTGGAACACATTTGGGACAAACAGGACGCCTCCGGCTTGGTGTGGTGCCTCATCTTCCTTGAGATTATTGTGTAGGATTTAGGGTTTAGGGTTCAGGGTTAGGGTTTAGGATTTAGGGTTTAGGGTTCAGGGTTTAGGGTTTAGGATTTAGGGTTTAGGGCTTTTTCCTGGCGAAAGTCGCGTGATTAAGAAACTACACCAGGTGGTCAAAGGAAATTGTGTTTCTGAGCAGCGGGTCCCTTGATCTTCCAGTCAACTTCCCACTTAGGGAATTTGGGGTTTAGGGTTTAGGGTTCAGGGTTCAGGGTTTAGGGTTTAGCCAGACTAGCTGTTATCGTCCTAGTTATTCGAGACATAGAATGAAATGAAAGCTGGGTTGTGTAAGTTGTGCTCTCGTCTATGTTTGTGACAGCAACAACTCCAGGCTTTTGTGGTTCACATGGGCACGGGAGTAAGTCAAACCGGAGTTTGGAATTTCGAATTCGCGCCCTCCGCCAAGACCCCAACATTTCCGCCAAACTCCAAACCATAGACTCTAAAACCCTAGACCCCAAACCCTACACTCCTAAGCCCTAACCCCCTAAGCCCTAACCCCCTAAACCCTAAGCCCCTAAACGCTAAGCCCCTAAACCCCTAAACCCTAAACCCCTAAGCTCCTAAACCCCACTGCGGCAGGTACACAGATGCGGCGTACTGGGACAGGATGGCCGGGGATTTGGATGAGCGTTGCGCAGATGCCTGGGATGTCGAAAGTGAGCCACGCTACTCGGCACTGATTGACATCCTGGTGGTCAGTATGGGTTTAGGGTTCAGGGTTTAGGGGAATACGCGAACATAATCCCTATATTAATAAATCCCCCAGTAAGTTGAGATTTAAAAGCATGTTCTGATAAAGACACATGGCTTGAGCATCTTTCTGCTTCGTGAAAAGCAGCGAAGCTTGTCTGCAAGTATGGCGTTCTCTTGCTTACTGGTTCTTCTTCATGGGGAATATAGGTAATATGTTATGTAGGCGTTCTGTATTATGTACATATTAGATTGTGTAGGGAGTATATTCCTTACATTCCCTACTGTGAACCAGTAAGCTTGGAAGAGCTTGAAAGTGAACACCCGCGAGGTGATGTTTCCAGTGAGGACGAGGTGTCGGAAACTGGGTTGCTGTTAAGGAACTTGGGTTGAGGGTTTAAAGTTTAGGGTGTCGGGGTTTAGGGTATAGGGAAATTAATGTACTACAATAAGACCACCCTATCGTTTACCACATACCCATGTCATGGTAACTTAAACCCTAAACCCTGAAGAAACCCACAGCAACCAAGGAAATTCCGGCGGTGGAGCAGGGTGTTGGCCTGGCTGCAGTGCAGCGTGGCGTGGCAGGCCAGACCCTTGCAGTTTTTCCTTACTGGTTCGTAGTAGGGGATATGGGACCATATTATTATATAGGTACTTCATATGGATCATATTCCGTTATTCCCCAATAAGAACCAGTAAGTTTTCCTTGTATGATAAGCACACGGGACCGTTGAGTTCCGGATTTCTGCGGAAGTCTTCAGGCAAGATCATGCGCTCGTGGGGCGCAGACCCCTCCGTGCAAAGGCCTAGCAGTACGCAACTCGGCGTGATCGCCTTTCCATTTTTCATAGTTTTCTTTGGGGCAGGTGGCTTAAGATGTCCGCAGCAGTGACCCTAAACCCTAGAACCCCTCCCCTCCCGCCCCCCCAAACCCTAAAGCCGTTTGTGTAGATGCAGGCTCCTGGCCGTGGTGGAAGGTCTGCAGCCCAACCTCTCGCGCACCGGACTAGGCCGGCCTGCTTTCAAGATATCTCCAATATATCCCCTACATACTGTACTGTCCTTAGGAATTATTTCTAATTTGTATGAAAGTCTAACCAACACATTATTTTTATTCTAGGTCTAAGAGACTACAGTGTATAACCCTTATGCTTTTGCTGATACAACCCGTTAATATCCCCTGTATAACCCTATAAAATCCCCTATATAAACCCCAATGTAATCCCCAATGACCCTAAAGTTCTTCCCCTAAACCCGAAACCCCCACCCCTGCTGCGGCAAGCCTGGAAAATTCTGGGAGGCTGGATAGGCGAGAAGGCTCGCACCAAGGCTTCTGTGAAATGTTTCTGCCTCAGCTGTTTACCATTATACACCATAATATACTACAATGTACCACAATGCATCATGATGTGCCACAAGAATACACAATATGATATACCATAATATACCACAACATACCATGATATTCCATAATACAGCCAACTTAGCATGCAGTGGCCAGCAAGCACATGATGGACTGAGCGGAAGGTTCCAGCGATGACTGGGTGCGTATCGGATCCATTTACGACAAACATCAAGCAGACGGGGACATGAAGCCTCGGGCAAACAGAGGCTCAGCGAGTTTCATTTGTGTGCGAGTGCGTCTAGCAGCTGCATGGAGCGCAGGGGAAGGGCGACTTGTTGGTTCCTTTTCAGCACCTTGGCTTGTCCAGACCTTTTTGTTTGCATGATGGCGGTTTGATAGAGTCGAAGCGAAGGCAACTTCGACTCTTGTGGCGGATTGCCGGCGGCGGCTGACCTTCGTACCTGCCCAGCACGTGGAAAGAAGCGATCAGGGTAGCTTGGATCTTGAATCCTATGCATCGTCAATTATTGTGCTGAGGATGCTCGCGTAGTCATGTACATCGCGCGCCTCCCATCCCCTCTTGTAAGCATCGTCTAACAAGGGCTCGGTCTTGGGACGAATACCTTGGGTTGGCCCCCGCACAGTCAAATCGCTAAACATCGATGAGAGAGTCGTGGGGACCTGCCACGATTAGCACGGGCACGCTCTGCATGCATCAGCACAACACAACCTGCCGTTGATCACTGGGATGTTTTCGGCTCATGGTGGCTGAAGCATTGGATTAGCGATCAGGCAAAGTTTGTGAGTAGCCTTCACTCTTGGCGTGTCCTCCATGGCCGTCCGCGGGCAAGTGTCTCCGTTTGGACCTTATGGTGGTCTTGCGCCGG